ACACCTTTTATGGCAGAAACATACACCTCGTAATAAAATATTCGAGATACATATCTTTAAAAACATATCTTGACTTTGTTGACATTTGAAAACTTTTTATTTCTTGAAATTTCATGTATGCTTATAATTGTATTGGCATGTACGAATATGTCATGAGAAATAATTATCAAGAACCTTCAACGTGTATATAATTATTTATTATATTTTTCTTTTTATCATCAGTGATTGGTCACCTAACTTAAAATGCATGTCAAAAATATAATTTACATATGGAGGAATTTTTTTTTTTTATTGCATAGTCAATATTCTAATCACAAAAGACTAAATAGTAAACGAATCAGTAATGACCCAACTTCTATTGACTATATGTGTTTTTGTGAAATAAAAGAGATTGTAAGAGTATCTTCAAGAGACTCTCTATTTTTAAAGAGCATATTTTATCATTTGAAGAGTATCTATAAATTTAGAGAGTTAAAATTTTAAAGTACTCCAACAAACTTTTTATATTTAATACTTAATTTTACTACTCCCGAAAAATATTTATTATTTTTCTTTATTTTTTATTTTAACTAGATTTTCTTTAAATTATTCTATTATTTTCCTACATTGAAAATTGAAACACTTTGAATGCATTTAATTATGGAGAGTGAATTTAACTCTCCAAAAATTAAAATGTTAATTTAAAGAGTCTTTTTGGAATATGATTTTAAACGTTGATTCTTTAAAATAGAAAGAATCTCATATTTAAATAGTCTATTGGAGATGCTCTAATTATAGTATATTACATAAATATAACTTCCTTATTACACTGAAGTACTATAATATTTAGAAATTAATGCACAAGGATCAACCAGTAGTCATAGAACATGTTAATCCAAAGTGCTTCTGGTAATGCACTTTATTTATTTTGACAAAGGAACATGATGAGTACATATTGTTTTCAGTTAATTAAATTAAATAATACATTATCAATCTAATTAAACATGGACTATAACATCAAAATGGTAATATTATAAATAACATTGAAAATCATATTAATACCACTCTTTTAATATGCTTGTAAATAAATGTCTGCTAACACAACTTTAACATCATTTATATATTCACTTTATTCAAATGCTAAATTAATAAAATCCTATTAGTAGAATAGAAATTCGAGAATGATACAAAATATTAATTTATGGATAATAAATTCAGTTTTGTTTGCTCTATAAATTTTCATTTGAATCAAATAACGAACGTGAAACTATTTTAGAGTATTAAATAATTTATAATGTGTCAAAATCATTAAACTGATTAACGTATACATGAAAATCATTATACTAATTATGTAACCGGTATATAATGATCGCAATATGTCAAATATTATCAAAACATAGTGTTAAACATAGTTTAATGTATTAATCGACTTCATCTAATAGTTATAAAATAAAATGTATCGCGTACGAAAAAAAAAAAAAAGGAAGAAGGCTCGCTAACCTTAATAAGAAGGTACATATTATGCTTCTCTTCACATATGGGAATCAATCTTTGAAAAATCTTCTCTTCACACAAGAAATAGAAAATTTGAATTTAAATGTTGATGTGATGGATAACGGTCATACTTTTTATTTTAATGAAGCAAAAAAGTGGTCCAAACGGGGGCTAAGTGTATCATTTTATTTATTCCAATTTTAAATTGAATTATATGCAAATTATAATTAACTTTAATTAACTTGTCAATCGGCTAGGACGTTCAAGGTATAATTCCCAGAAAAATATTATTAGTCACAATGACGATAAATTATTAATTAAGCAATAAACATATCATTAGGCAATATCGCATTAAAAAAAATTAGAAAAAGAGAAACGTGACGTTACAAAACACGACTATGCCTATTGACTTAGATTATGTCGATTTGGAGGAAGAAACAGTGTATAACATCTTGAAAAACATCAAATTAGACGGAAAAACATGTGATAAATTAATGATGGTGTAGAAATTTTCAATGCAGCTTGCAATTACTGTGAGAATTACTAAGGACAGTGACGACTTAAAATTATCAAAGAAAGAGTGTGGATAAAGTGCTAGCAAAGTTCATGATGGACTTGGGTGTTGCAAAACAAATAGTTGAGATGAGAATTACAAGGGATAGTGACATCTTGAAATTATCACAGAAAGAATATGTAAAATGCTAAGCAAGTTCAAGATGGATGTTTCAAAATCAGTTAGTACTTCTTTGGCTAGTCACTTCAGACTATCAAATGAGCAGTTACCCTCTACAGAGCAGAAGCGAGCCCACACGGCCAAGTTGCTTTATGCCTCTACCATTGGCATTCTTATATATGCCATGGTGTGTACAAGATTGGACATAGCACATGCAATGAGAGTTGTGAGTAGATGTATGAGTAATCCAGGCAAACAATATTGGGAGGTAGTAAAGTGGTTTCTCAGATAATTGAGAGGTACTTCAGATAACCTCGACATATTTCAAGGATTCTGCCTATTCGATATGTTATCATACATCAAGTCATAATATAAGAGTACACATGAGAAGGCAGCACCTAAAGTGATGAAAATTATAGGGGTGTCCAAAAGTCCCGAACCGAGCGGTTCTTCATAAGTTAAATACCCGAACGGATACCCGAATCGAGAACCGATGGGTCTGGGTCGGGTTTCGGTTCTAGACCAAGAACCGAAGAACAGAATAAGACCCGAAACTAAATAATTTTTTTTATTGAATTAATTAAATTAAATTATTTTTTTCTAAACAAATTAACAAATTAATTAAATAAATCAGATCATTTCATAATTTTAATTTTAAAGCCCAATACCCAAATCATTTTAAAACTCATTTTAAAGATAAGAAATAGTGGAGTTTGGGATCCATTTGCAGTTTTTGATATGGATCATCGATATTTTAATATTAACATCTACTTTTTGGTATTTGTATGCATCGAATTAATTTTATTGGATAGCTAGTTATTTATATATTTTTAAATTGGACTACGTTAATTTATAAAAGTTACGAATGAAATGTCATTAATTGTATTTTTGTAGTGTTGCTGTAAATGTTAAAAAAATTAATTATGGAACGGAACCGAACCCGAACGGTTTCATAATTATATTTGGATCCGACGGGTCCATTTATTAAATACTCGAAAGTTTTGGGTCGATAGAATCGAACCGAACCGACCCACGGACAGCCCTAGAAAATTATCTTGGATTGAGCGAGGCTTGTGACCTAATTGCAGTTATGCGTAAGGCTACAACCTAGTGAGTTTTTATGAAAACTGTTCTGTTTGATTTGATCTTGTTGATATGAGTGCATTCCTGTAGAAATAACATTTTAGCATTTCAAGGAATTGTTGCTTCGGATTGCCGGTAGTTAAATATTTAGTATCATAAACTGGTTAAGCATGGCAAGAAAAAGTGAACTTCTGGTTCAATTAAAAGTAGAAATTGTCTGCATACTCTTCTAGATTATGTACATTATTAATTATTTGTTATCCCTGCGAAGTAAATCAATACCGAAACCTCTGAAACCCAGAAATCAAATTAAGAAACAGCAATAGACAAAAGAAACAACTTCAACCATCCTTGCAATGAGTCACATTCTAATCAATTTGAGTAACAAGTTACACATCTAGGCCCTATTTGAGCCACCTTTTTGTAGAATGATAATGAAAAATATAGCCGTTATTGAAGCCCACACAAGAGATATAAAATTTGAATTTAAATGTTGATGTGATGGATAACGGTCATATTTTTCATTTTAATGAGATTAAAAGGTGACCCAAACGGGGGCCTAGTCTTATTTTCGTCTCAATGAATTCTGATTTTGCTTCATAATCACCATGGGCAGTTCTTTGTTACCATTTATCTTACCCTGTTAATTTGTGAATCATGAAGCAAACACCTGGTTGAAAATTAAACATGTAGACAATGTAGTGAAGACGGAAAACAACCGATTTGCTGGTTTACTAATATCAAACCATATTCTTTTAGAGCTCCACTGATATATATATCGCATAAAGTGAGAATCATTTTCTGGACGATTTTAGCCCTACTACAATTTAATTATTTTAATAATACCATACTTTTCATTTTTCAATATAGATTTAATTGAATATTAATTATTAAAAATGCACACAAATAAATAATTGAATTGTACGAGAATAATCAAATTGATTCATGAACATGTAACTTAATTAATTTGAATAAATGAATATAGAAAAAGAATAATGTATATACATTTAAACAAATGGGGTTTAAGTGAATCAACATGAAATTTAATTAATTTGAATTAATAGATATAGAAAAATAATAATTTATATACATTTAAACAAATGACGTTGTATTATAAATTAAATGAATAATATTAAAATTAAATAAGTATATATGAACTTGAATAATCTATCTACTCATATAATAATTGAATAGCTCCCAAATTATATGATTTTTAATAATTTATATACTCTAGGATAATTTATGATAAAATGAATAATTTTCAAAATAAATATGTGTTCATAAATNATATTGAAAATAAATACGTGTTCATAAACTTGAATAATTTATTTACTCCTAAAATAATTGAATAGTTTCCAAAACATGTGTACATGAATTTGATGACTTAATGTTATATGTAATATATCAATAAATAAATGTTAATTAGTATACATGTACATACATAAATAATTGAATTGTAGTATTTCTAAAATAATTGAATAGTTCCCGAAATATATAAAGTGTACTTGCATGAACTTGAAGAATTAGTTGATCGAATTATAGTAGAATGTATCTAAATCAATGTTAATTATTATCGTACACGTTAATAAATAATTGAATTGTATAAAAAGTTCATTTCACTTAAACAGTTTTTTTAACTATTTTTTATATTAACTGATTTTTAAATATCATTTTTACATCGTTTATAAAATATTTCAAAATAACGTGCAACGCAAGTTTAGCTGTGACCAATCTCTAAAGCGGAAAAATTGAGAAGGTAGGTTGTTACATATCAATCAAAAACAACAAGTTTCTTGTACTCTTCACCTGATATGGCAAGTTCCATGACTTCTTCTGGATTCACAACCCCCCCTCCCTCCAAGAACATAGTCAGCAAATTCTTTGAAAATCCACTCACCAGCGCTACCCCACTCTGATTTGCCAGAACAGGGGTCGACCTTGAGTTTCTGAGGTTCCAAAACACAATCTCCGGTACATTTTGATAACCCTTCTCCCTGAATTTTCTCTGTATGGCTTGGTAATCGGTCTCCCAAGGATTCCCCGATGCCTTATCAAACTCCATATCGCTAAAAACAAACAGCCTCTTTATCATCTGTTCTTCACTCAGCTTCCCTTCGACTGCAACATCCAAAATACGATCAAACACTTTCTGAAAATTCGTATTCATGCCCCAATTCATTTCTCTCACAAATTGTGTCTTGGCCTTAAGAGTTTCACCCTTAACATCTTGAAGCTCAATTTTCCCTTCTTTAACAAGTCATCTACCATTCTTTTCCACTGAAGCTCTGCAACTTCACCACTCTGCTCATCATCCAACTCCCCAATAATCTCATGAGGAAGCAATGCCCCAGCAGCAATCTTCGCATCCCCCCTCTTCACTTTCTCAAGATACTCCATAAACCTCTCACTATCATGCTTCAAGAACAATTCCTTGTAGTTCTTCATTGCCACAGAGGCGACCCTATTGTACGGAAGAACATTCCATTCTTTTGCACTCATGAATACCTCCGGCAACTCCAACGCCTTGTGCAAAGGTACCAGCACATCTTTTCTGAGCCTGTCTCTCACCCTATAAACATAATGAGCCTCCTCAATTCCGTCATATTCTGGATGATTTTCCTTGGGAAACATTTTCCGAGCTACACTTTCACAAATCAAAGTAGCCTTATCATAGGAAGAATCAACGGATGGACACCACTTTGCAGCCAAACTAATTTTACTAAGGTTTCCAGAACTCAATTTCTCCAAATCAGACTTCAAAAGCTCCACAAAGAAATCCGAAACCATGTCGTGCAAGAACCTATATTTCTCATCAAGATTGTATTTATTGAAACCCTTTCTAGCATTGTTTAACTCTTTTTCCTTCCTCAATGCCCTTGCTTTTTCTTTTTCCATCTTCATTTTCTCCAAATTTTTCATTATGTTCTCCTTTTTCTCTTCATTTTCCTTCTCTGGCCTATTTTCCCTCTTAAATTTCCCTCCCCTTTTTCTTCCTCTCCCACCTTAACGCCCTCTAAACATTTTGTTTTTCCCCCCTGATTTCATCCCTCTATCTTTTTTCTCAATATTTCTTATCAAGGGCCCTTCAAGAATCCTATAAAGTATTTCAAGCAAATCTTTAAAGTAGCCAAAATCAGCAAATACCTTAATATTACCGGCCAGCGTCTTGGGGTGGTAATGATGTAGCCAAAACGCCGCCGCATAGAATCCTTCCTTGTCAGATTTTCCAGTGCCTCTCACCCCCCTGAGATTGCAGATCAGTTTCAAAGCAGTCAATGAATTGAAGGCCCAGGCTAATTTCAGCCGCCCGATCAAATCTCTGGGTGAAGTATCAGGCACCACATGGAAGAAGAAATCCAAACAAGGGTTTCCTGAAGAAATAAAAGTTGCTGAATTATTTTCAGTTAAGCCCATAATCGGATGGTAATCAAAATCTTCTTCTTCTACATCTCACCAAACCAATTAATCTGATTTCATGGGATCATCTTCAGTGGTGTCGGTGGAGGATGGTGGCGCGTGGTGAAGTTCTGGGAGGCCGAGGAGACGGCAGGTTGTGGCCATATTGAATTTTTGAGGTAATTTTGTGAGTCTTTGAGAAGATTAAGAAATCATTTTTTGTGCGTCTTATATAGGATGAACCAGACGTGCTGGCCAAGAATCATTTACGTTTCTTGCAGATGTTTAATAATTATCTTTTCATTTAAGATTTTAAATGGATTTTAATGAAAAAATTAGGTGTCTAACTAAAGTTTTAAAGAATTTTAATGAAATTCATTTTTTTTTTTTTGCCAAATAATGACCATCAAACAGTTGCTAAACTTACAACACTTCGATTTTTCCTTTTTTATTTTCTCAAATCATTATATTAACTAAATTTAAAATATTGTTTGAGCAAGAGTTTGACAATGATGATTTAAATAAACAATTATATTTAGAGGTGTAGAACTGAGATAGGTCACTCTGGCCTTTGGTACGTCATGTTGGGCTAGCTATCAAAGTAGAGGACTGCTTTTCTGGACCTTTTTCAATTTCTTTTGTTTCTTAAGATTATAAAGAAAAAATTGAAAACACTCGATTGTGATTGCTTCATTTGACAAGAGGTGGTGAACCTATAGGTTGTTTGTGTCAAACCTTTCGATAGTACAATTATGAACATCTGTGTTGCTCCTATAAAGATTACAAGAACGAAACATAGAATGAAGTTGAATTCTAGATTTTGAATACATGATAAATAAGATATGGTTGTATCGTGTATGGCTTTTTTTTAATGACTTGACAAATTGAAGATTAATTTTACTTATTTATATGGGAAAAATTTATTAATCGGGTATTATCTATCATGAAATAAAAAATCAGGCCCCAATGTTTAGTATTGCAAAAATCAGATTTTTTTCATGAATTAATTAATTATATTTTACAATTATTATATTAAATTAAATATTTAATTGTAATATAATAAAATTAACCACCCCACCCCATCTCCACAACCTCTACTGCTCCGGCGACTACTCCGACGACGACTTCCCGACCGCACTTAATTCCGGCGATTATACCGATTCCGAGGTCACAGATATCTTATTGAGGTCACAGTTAGCTTAATTCAAATAACCGCTCCAATGCCGAGGTCATAGATATCTTATTAAGTTCACATTTAACTTCATTAGTCACTCATCGAAAAAAATATAAGGTCACAGATATCTTATTAAGGTCACAATTAGCTTAATTCAGATAATTGGTCCGATTTCGAGGTCACAGATATCTTATTAAGATCACAGTTAGATTAATTCAGATAACTGCTTCAATTTCGAGGTCACAGATGTCTTATTAAGGCCACAGTTAACTTCATTAGTCACAACAATAACAAAAAACGNACAACAATAACAAATAACGACAACCCGAGTCTGGGGTCACATATGTCTTATTAAGGTCACAGTTAACTTCATTAGTCACATAACCGCAAGAACAGTGGAGAGAACAACCACCCCTAAAATATTAGATCCACACATTCGCCACCAACAGCTAACATCCTACACCACCAGCTCCCTACACCATCTCCAGCATCACACTCACTACCACCACCACCACATCCCATCCCACCACCATTGCCACCACCGCCACCTCCTCCCCCAGACCGCCCACTTTATTATCACAGCCACGATGGAGCAGAACCAAAAGCTTCCTTCAAACCAAAAAACGAATATCGAATGATTTTAGTAATTGACCAGCTAATCACGAGTGAACTCACGAGAAAATGAGTTCTTATTTCAGGAAAACTTCACAAAATCGCCTCGCCACATACAATTTGGAGCTAATTTGGGGCAGAGTAGCACTTACTGGATAAAAAATGGAGGAAAGAACCCATTTCTGCAGCGCCCCATGATTTGTACGCTGCTACGCTGTTGTTATTCACAGCAGCGTCGACACTGAGCATCGATTTGACGCTCCGACAGAGAGGAGAAGGTAGGTAGGGAGGGAGGATGAGGTAGCGTCCAGCATTCGACGCTACTGTGAATCACAGCAGCGTCGACACTGAGCATCGATGCTGTTGTGGTCGACGCTTCGGCAGGGAGGAGAAGGTAGGTAGGGAGGGAGGGAGGGAGGAGGAGGCGGCAGAGGAGATAAATGATGGAGAGAGAGAGAAAAATGAGGGTGGGGGGTTGTGTGAAAAATGGATAAATTAGGGTTTCAAAGGATTATTTATTTAATTAAAATGATAAAAAACCTGATAAATGGAAAAATAAACGTGAAAACCTGAAATTTTAAAATGTGAAACTAATGGTCTGGTTTAAGGTAATTTTCCCTATTTATATTGAGGCTGAACTTGGGTCTGGGTCTGGGCTGGGCATTGGGTTGGGTTGGGATGGGCTAGTATTTGGCAAAATCCAAACCAACCCGAATTGGCCAGTTTGTTCTAATGGGTGTCATGTGCATTTTCTATTATCAATGGATTCCTCTACGCCATTGCAACCCATCGCCGCCCACTAGTCTCAACAAAGAAAAATTTCTCTCTATCTTTATACGCTTTTCTCTCTCTAAACCTGAGTTGTAGATCTAGAGAAAAAGTGGATGATTCAGGAGCGGAGCCAGAGAATGATGTTAGGATGGGCTGAATGAAATAAAAAAAAGTTTAGAAGTCTTACATTAAGATATTCCACTAATTTTTTGTTTTTGTTTTTTTTACCAAATAGAAAATCAATGCTTGCTTTAAAAAATATAAATTGACCGAATCATGGTGGAAATAAGCAAAAATACATATCCACCAATGAAATTTTAAAAAATTACTTAACGAGTGCTCTTCTAGTAACTTTGAAGACCAATCTTTCCAAACAACTGAAAGTTTGATCGAAACACGTTGTCGATAATATATCACTATAGTACATATGTTGTTGTCTAGAAATATTATTTGGTGTGTTTATCGATCTTTTATATCACCACATTTCAAAGTAAGTGAATAATCTCAACCAAAGTGAGAAAAATGAACTAAGAGTTTCGAGGGTCAAAGAAATTAAATTTAATTCACGTCCATTTTTTACTCGATTTCAAGAATATACTTATATATAGATTATTTTATAAATAAATAATTTTTAACAAATATTCTTTTTATTATCAATATCGAATATATAGTAAATTATTTATTTTGATCATAATATCTTTTTTATGGTCAAAATAAGTAATTTTTTTTATAAGTATGAATAAGTAATATATGAAAACATACATAGAAATAAAAAAAATTTAATTACTTTTAAATTTAGAAAAATATGTAGTGTCTCTAACTACTAAAATAAGTAATTTATTTTTAGATCTAATCAATACAAATTATCTATAATAAAATATAATTAATAATTATAAGTAAATTTAGTCACATGCATTAAATAGAATATCTAATTTGACAATAAAATATTCACGTTTCATGAATGTCATGAAAAGAGTAATTAATAATCGTGGCATCTTTAATACAATTTGAAAAATTGAACATTGGACTTGGGTTGAAATTTGAACTAGAGTTGGGCTAATACTAATATTTGGACAAAAATTCTACAATTTTTTCTTAAGGTTTTTATATGGGCTGAGAGATAGTGTTGGGCTACAACCTAACACTGCCCCCACTACCTCCGCCCCTGGGGCGATCTCTCTCTCTACCTTTTCCTTTTTTGCTTTGGATTTCCTCAAAAGCCTTAACAACCCACTACTAGTTAGAAATGCCAGAAATAGAGTCTTTAATAATACTACTAAAACATATTGAAAACATTCTTCTTTAAGAAGAAGCCTTTGTCACCTTCACTTCTCATCCACGTTCGGGGTCGATGTACTCTTCCTTGTCGATAGTGGGATATCCTAATTTTCTCTTCCTTGTCGGCGATTGATCTACCGACGGCCAAATATAGTGATAGTTTTGGTATAAAGTATTAGGTTTTTGGATTTTCTTTTTTTATTGCAGATTGGATTGGGTAGATAGCAGTTTTAAAATAATTAAAAAAAACACACCTCGACCCGACCAATTTATTTTAAATTTAAATCGAGCCGACCTGAACTGCGAAGGGATGAAAACTAACCTAAATTAGGCCGGGCAGGGTCGAGTCGATTTGGATATACGGATTTCGGGTTTGATGCCCAATCTTGCTTGGGTCACTGAAGTTCAAAAAAGGGTTATAGGTCCTACCAGTAGCGAGTACTGACTGATCAGATCATAAGTATTTCGATCAAAATCATTACATTGCAATTTTATAGTTTTCTATATATAACAAGATATTTTTTATTGTTATAACATTGCAGATCGTGTAAATATATTTATTTCCATCCTAGATATTTTCAGATAAGTTAAATATGTGAATTTAATGTTACATTAAATTAATAGTCTTTTCTTATTTTAGACTATAAACAAATCAAGAAGATCTTTTATTATATTATTTGAAATACTAAATCTCTTACAATTTTTAATGACTACTATTTAGGTAAGAATTAATTTCTATCTTTGATAATTGATTTACCTATAAGTAAAGTAATTAATCAAGAAAAGAATCAAGTTTTGAAAATAATTTTCGTCTGGTGACCTACGACGAGCAGTGCAGCCGTCTTCAAGTGAGTTCGTACATGGTGATGTTTAATTGAATTTTTTTCAAAGGCAACGTCTTCTTCAAGTATTCGGAGAACACACGACAATTTGTGTTGAATGTGCAATCCTTTCAATTGATCAAGTTGATTGGCATAAGTTTAAGGTTGTTGATTCTTAATCCAAGTAGAGGTTATAGTCGAGTACAATAGTGAAGTGGTGATAAAGTAAAGACCGTTGTATTTGATTCTACTTTATCTACAAGTCAAAAGGATTTGTTCTAGTTCTTTTGAATGTTCATATGTTATTTTTGTAAAATTACAAAAGTGGATACTCTTGTATTTCTCACCAATTAATTAGTGTA